ACATCTGGTGAAAATTTCATGTCATTAGCACCTCTAGTAATATATTTACTGTGAAAAATGGTGACGTGTTCAATACTTATTTTACCTGCTGTATCTGTAAAATTTGCCTGGTTATTTTTGTTTTAGTGTATTTAAAATTAATTTGCTGTTGCGACCATGTTTAATAGAAAACAATACGTAACTCATTCACAACATTTGTGCTTCTTCAACAATTCATGTATCAAAATGTTCAGCTTCCTTCAAACCCTTGTGCTGTTTACAACTTATTATTCAATTTTTTTCAGTTTCTGCTAATTTCAGCCTTCTTCAGCTCCTTTAAAAAAAGTTTAAAGCTTTTTTTCCCATCTCACCTGTGAGCCATTTTTGAGGGGGTGCAGGGCCTTGCTCAAGGGCACAGGGAGGGGCTGGTTGGTACAAGCTCACCCTAACCTCTGTACCACCACTCTCCTAGTTTTCAACTACAGATCTATTTTTGCTAATTTGAACTTTTTTGATAGAATAATTTCACCTTTTTGTATTTATTTCAGTTTATTTTTTTATCTAATTCAGCAAATGTGCTTTTGGTTTTTTCCTTGTAATTTCAGTGGTTTTCTTTTCTTTCTTTTTTTTTAATAGTTTCACCTTTTTCCGCTAATTTACACCTGATTTTTTGCATTCATGCTGCATTTTTAACGGAAATACAATTGAGCGTGAGTTATGTTCATAATTATTTTTCTGAAAACTTATCCAGTGGTTCAGGAAATATTTTGCTAACATGATAAATAAATCGTGATTGGGCAGCACGCGGCGGCTCATCCTGGCTTCATCTGGTGTAGACCTGAGGTCTTTCTGAGTGGATTTTGTTTTCATGCATGTGTGGATTTTCTCCAGGTACTCCGGGTTCCTCCCACAGACCAGAAAACATGTTTGGCTGCCTTCAGACCCAGGCCTCTCTTGCAAAAGACKCCTAACATCTCAATGGGAATTATCTGGTTAAATAAAGGTAAAATTAAAAAAATGTAATTTTGCTTTTGATGGATTAAAAATGTGCTCCAAACATAAAGATATAGTTTGTGTAACTTGTTTTAAAAACAGGTCACCTACACTCTTAAGACTAATCTGTGTGTTTTTGGACTGTGAGAGGAGACTCAACACCTGGATTAAATACAAACACATCTGGAGAGAACATGTAAACCACACAGAATAAACTCATCTGATTCAGAGTTCTGCTGCAGTACAACAACACAATGGAGTCGTGCAAGTTTGAAGTCCAAACTTTCTTATAGCTTATTTTCTTATTGCTTATAATGACTCTAATTCTTTATCTGGGTGTCCAGTAAAAAAAAACCTCTTTAAGAAGTCTTCAGTTGATCCAAAATGCTGCTGCTAGAGTTTTAATGAGAGTTGGAAGAAGAGCATGTTTCTCCAGTTTTAGCTTCTCTCCACTGGCTCCCTGTCAAATTCAGAATAGAGTTTAAAATATTACTCCTAACATACAAAGCTCTTAACAACCAAGCTCCACCATATATTAACCCTTTTGTGCATGGAGGTCACTACAGTGTACAGCTGTTTAAAAGTGTTTTTTCCTAAATATAGTATGTGCCTGCAATTTTGGGCAGTGTTGCATATAATCCACTCTAGTGATCACATCATCCCATACAAAAAATCCCATTGGCTGGTCATTGCAAAGGGAAAAATTGTCAGTGAAACCAAGATGGCTGACAGATGGAGAGAACAACCAAACACCTCGGGTATTTCAGTTTCTACCTTCCATAAAAAGACACCATTGCAGGTAAAAAAAAAAAA